AAACTCCGCGTTGCTCAGCGACAGCCCCGAAACCTGACAGATCTAGAGGAGATCTGTGTGGAGGAGTGGGCCAAAATCCCTGTTGCAGTGTGTGCAAACCTGGTCAAGAACTACAGGAAACGTTTGACCTCTGTAATTGCAAACAAAGGTTTCTGTACCAAATATTAACACTGATTTTCTCAGGTGTTCAAATACTTATGTTCAGCAGTGCTAGACAAATAAATTCTTTAAAAATCTTTCAATGTGATTTCCTGAATTTTTTTTTAATTCTGTCTCTCAGAGTGGGAATGCACCTACAATGTGAATTTCAGACCCCTCCATGATTTCTAAGTGGGAGAACTTGCAAAATCGCAGGGTGTTCAAATACTTCTGTTCCTCACTGTATATATGTGTGTGTGTGTGTGTGTGTACAAAGAGGTAGTCCTTTCATGGCAGGGCTGGTGTACAGGCTTGCATTGAGCTGTATATCTATTAAATTGCTCAGTGAGTACACATCTCATTTGATATATATATTTTTAAATAATTACTTAAGACATTTCTGGACAATGAGGTCACTTTTTAAAAACTCTCTAGTCAGCACAAGATATAACAATCCAAGCACGAAAAAGAGAATTTTATAGTTTACACTGTAATTAGTGCTTTGCGGCTGTATGCCAAATATAAGGCGATTCCCTCAAGGTGTTCCTCATGTATTGCATTCACAACAATGGGACAGACATGAGATGATGGTGACCTTTAACCACCAGAAACCAGTTCATCTTTGAATCCAATGGGAAATTTGTGCCAAATTTGAAGAAATCCCCCCCAGGGTGTTCCTGACATATTTTATTTGCAATAATGGACGTACGTAGATAAAAACTACCCGAAAACATAATGCCTCTAGTCCCAGCCATATCTAGCATGGAGGCACAAAAGTGCTTCTTAGACAAAAATGTTGCATATTGAAAGAAACTTTAATTACCACTTTGCAGTTGTATACCTCCACCAACCAGTCAAAATCATGGGAATGGGACAGATGTAAGGTCACTGACATTGACCAAAACCTAACCAGTTCATCTCTGAGCGCAAGTGGACACTTGTGCCAAATTTGAAATAATTCCATCAAGGTGTTTGACATAACATGTTCACAAGAATGGGCTGGATGAACAACCCAAAAAACAAAGCCTCCAGCTGCAGCTTTCACCCACGTAGACACACACACACACAAAAAAACTACTCAATGATTTGTTGCTCAAGACAGATGCTCTGGAAGGTGGCGAATGTGATAGTTCAGCATGTGTAACTTTTCTACAAAGGCCAAAAATGTACCACTTTTGATGAAAGTAATACTTTTCTCTTCATAGGTCACTTTCACTCACCTCCGTAACTCCACTTATTCCAAATGCAACCCAAAAGCTGCCTGGGTGTAAAGAAGTGAAGGTGCACTTCAACATACTACAAAGATACTGAAACAGAAAGTGGTGGTGGTACTGGATTTTATTTTGAAATCAAGTCTTTTTTTATCATAGATGAAATCTTATTTAATGCAACCATAAACACAGAGGTCTGAGGAGGTCAACCTGTACGGATCATTGCTAAAACAGTATGCAGACAGAAGAAAACGCATCTTCTTTCAGTTAGAGCCTCATTCACTGTCCTGCCTTTTTTATTTTCAATCACAAAAACTGGGCCAATCCTTGGACAAAAAAAAAAAAAAAAAAAAAAAAAAAAAAAAAAAAAATCTGATGCTGCAAAAAGCCAAAAAGATGATGAATATAGAGATGAAGGTAAAAACTCAGTAACCAATCATGACTGATCCTTTTGGTGTGGTGCTGTGGGCTGTGAATATACAAGAAATTGTTCAAGAATGTTTCCGTTCAGGCAAGATGCAAAATCGTGCTCTTCAGTCTGCTCTTGGGGCCATTTGCGAAGCAGCAGCCAGTTGAAAAGCAGATGGAATTCCAGGTAGTTACTGCAAAAAAGAGGATGACATCAATATTCTCCTGCTAGCAAGCAACACTGACAAAGATTATTAGTATTTTGTTTCAAATCAGTGGCATAGCATTTCGTTATAATCAGCAGCATTACTGTGAAAATTTAAATTACTTCTACTATTGTAATCATTACATTACACAGCTGAACACTATCATTTTTGTAATGACAATCTGCTGCTACAGTCGCATCCGAGTGTTAGCCATAAACTAATTCATACAGCTTATTCATTTTTGTATATTCACCTGTGCTTTTCTAACTGTGACATGTCAAAATGTTTTCTGTGAAAAGAGCCCACACTTTTCAATAAAACAAAAATCTCCCATTGGCTTCATGGCACTCGTTTTTGGAGACTTGATCAAGTACTTACAAATTTCTCGATCTCCAGACCATCTTTCATGAAAAGCATGTACGGTGTGGTGCCGTCCTCACGGTAGTCCAGCAGTCCTACCATGCCTTCTGGGTTCATGTTCTCTCCGGTGTAAAACTGTAGAGAGACAAGGATGGCACATCAGGACATCCCTTCACTTTGAAGAGTTTCTCCCAACCATACTAAGTGGAAGCTACTTTCAGTCTTTATGTTTTATGAATATAGTGTATTGACTGTTTAGCTACATCGTAGTTATCGAGGTTTGCTGTGATCTTCTTAACAAGTGCTCCAGCTCCAGCCATGAAGTCCTCCACTCTAGCTGGATTGGTCTCCTCCAGCTTGACCTTGAGCCTGGACATACAAACAAGAGTGGCATTCTTTAAGATTTGTACTTTGTGTGTTAGATTCAGCAGACCACTCAGTTACAACTGGGGATGCACCTATCCATCTTCCCTTCCTGACAGCTAAACTCTAGACTTCTGTTAATTTCCAAGCGCTGATTCAACACGTGATCTCTTCCTTCCATTTAAAATCTGAACACCAGGTGCAATGAACATTCAGAACAGATACTCACATCTTCATGTAACCCTTAATGTATGTCATGTATTGCTTCTTGGTGAAGGATGTCTTCTGCAGTCTGTGGTTAAGGATGATATCCACGCCCATAACAGAAGTAGTCTCAGAGGCCTCGCTCACTTCGTCAGCAGAAGGATTGGATGAAATTGAACTTTCATCAAACCCATCTGTCCTGGTGACAGTCTAAACACATCAAGCAGAGGAAGCAGAAAGAACAGACAAATGGTAATTAAACTAAATGCAAATGAACACCATTACCTAAACATGAACTGAACACATGAAGCCTGTCACTGTTGCAACATCTATCAACAGAAGTAGAACACAAAACCATCACAAAAAAGGCAGATGTAGGGTTTATTTTACTGTATTTGATTTTGA